AATGTTTTGATGTATAGATTAGGGGACATTTAAATTCTTTGTATTGTCTTATTTATTTCCCTTTCCCTGTTTATTGTGACCGCCCGGAGTTCTTTGGGAGTGGGCGGCATACAAAACTAATAAACAACAACAAACAAGAACAACTGTGTTTTAAGCTTACTATCCTACAGCTTTGGGGGATGGGAGGCCAAAAATTTAAATGTCCCCTAATCTATACATCAAAACATTTTAAACCCAAAATTATTCTATAAAACAACAGTTGAAATCAATGTCAGGCAAGCAGATGGAAAAATCCAAAGAACAATATTATTTCAGTTTATCTCTAAGTATATCATTTTTAATAAAGAATCCCATTTAATTCCAAAGAAATTTATTTTCATTATCAGTTTTAATTTCTGGATTAATTAAGTATATTTTAATTTTTTTAAATTCATCATATTCATCTGGAAACACCTGTAATGAACATGTCATGTTGGCTTTCCTTTCAACCCCCAAATTTGACAAGAAACCAATTTGGGATAAATTGATTTTAGATGTGCACCCTGGTGATTAGAAAGAACAAAAGGCCACATGCATCCTGTTTAAAATAGTTCTATTTTCTTTAGGAAATTACGCTTGCCTAATTTTGCTTCTCTCAGTACTATGAGCCAGTGGGTGTGTTACTAATTTATGTATGCAATATTTTATGAGTGCTTTTCTAGTCAAATGATTTCTAGAACTCATTCACTGTAGTCTCAATCATCAGATTTGACATTCATGGAATGTACAATCACTATGATTTCATTTTTATAAAAATCAACAAACAAAACTGCTGTCCTTTGCTAAGTAACTTTATGGTATAATACACACACACACATACCAAAAAGATACTATTTTAACATATGATTCTTGGAAGAATTAAAAAAATTACCAATATTACATTAACAAAAATGAGCTAATATGATGGAGAAAGTTACAGGAAAAATGTTATTTGGGTTAAAAGAAACTGTGATGAAAATACGACAGTATATATCAATATATAAGATAAATATTAAAAATACCAAGAATAATTAGTGGAGAATTTTTTATTTTAAAATCAAGCTGGTTAGCTTTGTTAAAACTATTTGGTAATAATGCAAACCCTTGAGTTAATGAATTTCAGTTTAGCAAACTTTGGAGGAAACAGAAACCATCTGTCTTTAGAATTTTATGCATTCATAAACTCTCATTTTACATAAAACAGGCATGTATAACATTCTATTCAGATATAATAGATGCTCAGCTAAATTGATTATACTGTCCTAAGTCTACTCACACTATTTAATAAACTTTATATTAGATTTTGGTGTTATTGTTGTTGTTATACACATACTTTTTGGGGATGGGATTTTTTTTTGTTACAAATTACTCTCTGTTTCCTTTTTAATAGTAAATTAAATCAAGCAAGAAAACTGGCAAGACAGAGACAAGAACAAAATTTAATTATATATGTTTAGAAAGGGAAAAGAAGGGCCCACTATGAGAGTGGTTACAATATTTACAACATTCTTACCTAAGTGTCTTCATTATTATAAAAAGATGGAGTAAGAGCACACCTCTGGAAGTGCCCATTATGATTGCTATATAATAGCAATATATGAGCCATCTATAACAGCGGTTCTCAACCTGTGGGTTGGGACCCCTTTGGGGGTCGAACGGCCCTTTCACAGGGGTCGCCTAAGACCTTCGGAAAACACATATTTTTGAAAAAATATGGATAATAATTTTATGGTTGGGGGTCACCACAACATAAGGAACTGTATTAAAGGGTTGCGGCATTAGGAAGGTTGAGACCCACTGATCTATAAGAATTATCTTAGGCTATAAAACTAGCCTATCAAGTTAATTAATGAAATATTTATTTTAATAAACTCAAAAAGAATAAATATTCCTCATGAGCTACAGTAATTAACAGCAAACTATAGTTCTGATTTCAGAATAAATGATGGTGTCCTAACTGTCTCAGGACACATAGTTTAAGAACTGCTATGGGTGCCATGAAAAAAATAATGAGACATTAAGATCTAAGAACATTTGGGGGTATCTGGTACAATATAAGATACAAACAGTGATTTGTGAAAATACTTATCATTATAAAAATAATTACCTTGAATTTCTGTTCATTTTTTGCTTATTCTCATTACACTCTTTTTTCTGTTAATGTGAGCACTTTGGCTATGATTTTATCATGATTTAGAAAACTCGTTTCATGGTTATTTGCATTTTGGATTAATATCTATTATCTCAAATATTCATTTTCTTTTAATAGCAGGGTATTAGTCTATTATTATTCAATTCTGAATTTAATTATAGATTCTGATTAGACCAGTATTAATAGATATCTATTCATTTCTGTATTTCTTACTCTATTCTTAGATGAAATTAAAAGCAATGATACATGATTTTAGCACAGGAAAAAGTCTGAATGAACAAAGGATTGCATTTTATTTTCCTGTTGCAGTCTGCCATATGTACTCACAAAGGAACTTTATGTTTAATAAAGATATTACACAGACCTCAGGAGCAAAAATAACAGTAAAAGGAAGAATTTATATAATCTCTGTTAACTTCTTGAATTAGAATATGCAACCTTTGTTTTTTCTCAGTCACTGAAATATCACTGAAAGGTAGAATATTGTTCTACCTTTCTCTATCCTGGAGGGTTAACAAAGTGTTAGAGGCAAACTGGTTAGATAAACGTGAAAAAATATCAAGAGATATGTATTCCATAATCTCTAAAAGAAGCTGTTGAAAGATCAATGTTTGGATCCTATAAACTTTGATAATTAGTGACCAGCCTCCAATATTTTTCTAAAGTCCCTAGAATAAACAGTAGCAGAAAACACTAGGCATTCTTTGGTAGAGCTAATTGAGATTCTTTCTAATATCAATTCACATCCGCCTTAAGAGCTGAAATATTTCTGATAACTGCATAGCCTACGCCAAGAACTAGACAAGATAAGAATTTTCGTGATTTTCATTTTCCCCTCAGTGGCACCTGTTACAATTTAAATGAGCCAAAGAACTTAGGAATTTACAGAGAAAATAAACTGGAGATATTTATATTGCACCAGAAAACAAATGTCCAGATTTATTTTATTTTAAGGTGAAAAGAAGTAAAACTTGACCAATATATTGCTCATAATAATTTTTCTACAGTATATGCAATCTCAGATGTGTTATGTGTTATGATTAATAAAACAAAATATCAAATGCCAAGAGAAGAGAAAATGGGAAGATATAGTATAGCTTACAGGGTTATCAGCAGAATCATCAGCCACTTGTAAACCAAAATAGTCTCTCTCAGTCAAATCAAGATGTTTGAAAACTACATCCAGCAGAACTTGCCCCTGATCATGTTTCTGTAGAAAGAAAAAATAACAAAAATAGTTTACAGATAAAACTAAAATTTCAACCAAAACTTAAAGTTCTGCTAGTAATAACTTCCACTAGCCCTAAATAGAAATTTAGGAATAAAGAGATCTCTTTCAAACATTTAGCAAACCAAGCCAAACATATACCTAAATAGAATACACAAATATAAACATGCTCATCATCATTCAACTCTTGCTCATACATTTTTGCAATAGAATTTCAAGAAAAAATAAATAAAAATCTTACGTATACATTTTCATTTATGTATTAAAAAACGAAAAGGGGTAAAGATACAAATGGCATCCTTTTTAAAAAAAAATAAATTCTTGTCATCCCAGTGACTGAATTTGAACAGAGGAATTTTTTTTCATTTTTCATTGATTCTGAGATTATAGGATCACCTTTTCCTGGTCTAATGAAACAACTGTTAAACATTTAATAAGAAGTTAATACTGGTTGAACTACACATCAATGTTTTAAATATTGATTCTCTGCAAAGTATAATTGAATATAGTTGCACGTGTCAAAATGGTTGTATGTCAATGTGCATTTCTGAGTTAAATGACATCATTGTAGACTTAGAACTTGTAGAACATTTTCAACAGTCTGCCCTGCCTATGAGAATATAAACTTGTCTCTTCCTTTTATATCTGACAGGTATGCTGTTTAACCACACCTTTATTTCCTTTGTTCCTTTTAGACTCTGTACTTGTACCTTATTTCATTACATCTTTCACACTTTGACCTGCTGACCAATTTATACTTAATTTACTTTCTGTGCATATTAAAATTGAATATCCACTAACTCAGTAGCTCTTGAACTGTTTTGATCCAATTATTCCATTTCTCAGTCTTAAATGATGTTATTACTGCCAGAAGAAAGCAGACTCTTATTTTATAAAGTATCTCAACAATTCCAAACTGGATCATCGACTCACAAACAAGCTATTACAAAGTGCTCCATTAGCCCCAAATATAGCCAAATTACCCTCACCGGGAGTAATTACCCTCAGTTTAAGAACACTGCACTAAATGATGAAGCTTTTTACATGAAAGTACAAGAACACACTGTTTTCCATTCCCACATTTTTAGTTCTATGGAACATTTCTACACGACTTGGGGAAAAAAACATCTTTACCTTTATGAGCCTAAATCACAGAACTTGCTTATGATCAGTAGCAAAGACCAAATACTTAACAAATGACAGAAATAGGTAAAAATTACTGCTTGTTATAACTGGCATGTTTTTACACACACTGGGAATACACTGGGAAATAATATAACAAAATTAGAATCAGATTTTGATTTAGAAAAACCAACAGTTTTGCACTATGTTAATACTGAATCCTGTTGTAATATTTTATTTTATAGTGAATTCAAGTAACATTCGTTTATCACTGAAAACATATGATTGTTAGTAAATATTATGCTGTGTTATAATTTGCTTTTTGGGGAAACGAAGAGATACCTATTTCAATTTTTAAGTGTACAAAAGTAGTAATTTTTAAAAAAAAGCTTTAATATGTATATTCTTATCTTAACTTCATTTGATTTGGAGCAATAGTGAGATATTTAATTCAGCAAAGTTCCATTTTCAAGTATAGCTGGAGAATTCTGTCAACTTTTGGAGAAAATGGCTATATTACTGTATGTATTGCAAAGGTTATAAAAAGATCATGGGGAAATCACTTTAGGTTGCAACGACAGTTCTCCATATGAATACACACACCCTGTCAATTTCAACCCACAAAAATTCAAAACTAAGTGGTAGACAAGAGTGGGAGGAACAGAAGGACCTAGGTAATATTAGCATCACTTCCACCCAAACAGGAAGGCTCTTGTTGGTTTAATCCAACAAATGCCACAGACAACTCACATCTTCATATATTCCATAAATACTTCCCAGACGGTCTCAAAACTGAACCACACCTTCCCTTTGTGTGCTTCTAAGTAGATGAGCCATGTAAATATCAGTGTATATGTGTAGGTTTTCAGAACACAGGTGTAATTTCCTTCTGTACATATTATCAAAAAAGAAAACAAACTGGCTCATCTTATTGCAGTGATCTTAACATATTAAGAAATGTAAAACATGCTGTTATATACAGTGTAATCCTCATGTCTTAAAAATGTCTTAAATGTCTTTAACCAGCATAATATAACCAAGTAAGTAAAAGAGGAAAAAGATGGTGGGGGGGGGGGAAACAAGACATATTGACTACTAATAGCCCAAGAAAGTAATAAACATTCACTAGTGAAAAACTAAAAAACAGATTGGTGGTCTAGAATTATGAAACATCACCCTCCCCAAAACACTCTCTCTCACTCATTCTCTCTCTCTCTCTCTCTCTCTCACACACACACACACACACCTTTTCTATACATTATCAATTTAAAGGTGCAACTCTAACTAAAAGCTCTTCTGGTGATTTCCACCCAACACGCAATAAATATATGCATGTGGCATACTTATAAATGTGCATAACATTGTATGCATAAGCGTGTATGTGTGTACTCCCAGAATCACATTCTCCACCCCAAAAAGGTAGTTAAATAATTTTTTTTTCTTCCTAGCACATATTCTCCCAACTGCAGGATCCCCCCTTTTCTTCCAGATCAAACTAATGCTGATCCATTGTTTGTGACTGGAATTGAACAACTGGCTTATCATTTGAGCTTGATGTTGTGGGCTGAGACAATGAATTCTCAAAGTCACCCAAACCAGCTTTCATGCTTAATGAGAGACTAGAATTCCCAATATCCTGCTTTCTAATCTGCTTCCTCAACCACTAGGCCAAATTGACTCTCTTGTAAAATAAGACATCATATTATTTTATTTTTGGTTAAAAAAAAAAAAAGTATTCTACTTATAAAAAATGTGCCCACCATATATCAATCATTCTCTTGCATACAAGTAAACCAGTGTTAGATATATACAGTATACCATAGAAGGGAGTAGTACAACCCCTCACATTTTGTAAATATATAAGTATATCTTTTCATGTGACAACACTGAAGAAATGACACTTGGCTACAATGTAAAGTACCGAGTATACAGCTTGTATAAAATCGGCTGTCCCCTCAAAATAACGCAAACTGCTGGCAACAAAAGTGAGTACACCCCTAAGTGAGAATGTCCAAATGCGGCCCAAGTAGCCGTTTTCCCTCCCTGGTGTCATGTGACACATTAGTGTTACAAGGTCTCCGGTGTGAAGGGGGAGCAGGTGTGTTAAATTTGGTGTTATCACTCTCACTCTCTCAAACTGGTTACTGGAAGTTTAACATGGCACCTCATGGCAATGAACTCTTTGATTTCTGGAACCATGCTTTGTGGTCCGATGAGACCAAGATAAACTTATTTGGTTCAGATGGTGTCAAGCGTGGTGTCAAGCGTGGTGGCGGCAACCAGGTGAGGAGTACAAAGAGGGAACCATTAATGCCAACATGTACTGTGACAGACTGAAGCAGAGCATGATCCCCTTCCTCCGAGACTGGGCCGCACGGGATTATTCCAAAATGATAACGCCCACAAACACAGCTCCTAAATGACCACTGCCTTGCTAAAGAAGCTGAGGGTGAAGGTGATGGACTGGCCAAGCATGTCTCCAGACCTAAACTCTATTGAGCATCTATGGGGCATCCTGAAACAGAAGGCAGAGGTTCTTAAGGTATCTAACATCCACCAGCTCCGTGATGTCATCATGGAAAAGGACTCCAGTGGCAACCTGTGAAGCTCTGGTGAACTCTATGCACAAGAAGGTTAAAGCAGTGCTGGAAAATAATGGTGGCCACACAAAATAGTGACACTTTGGACCCCATTTGGACATTATCACTTAGGGGTGTACTCACTTTTATTGCCAGCAGTTTAGACATTAATGGCTGTTTGTTGCATTATTTTGAGGGGACAGCACATTTACACTGTCATACAAATTGTATACTTAGTACTTTACACTGTAGCCAAGTGTAATTTTTTCAGTGTTGTCACATGAAAAGATATACTTAAATATTTACAAAAATGTGGGGGTGTGTGTACTCACTTCTGTGATATACTGTACAACATGCACATATCCACCACTTTCCTTTCATCAAAAACAAGAAAAAGTAACTTTGTTGAAATAGATGAAGAGAAGATTATGTTAAATATGAGAAAGGCCAAATGAAATGAATGGAAATGTGAAAGAGAAGAGATAACTAGTTAGGACAGGCAAGAAAAAGGACAGAAAGCTTGGTGTGTGTTTCAGAAAGGATTAAAATGCATGAGCAACAGGGATAAGCTCCACATCTCCCAAGTTGCTCAGGAGACTGATCTTCAAGATCATCCTCAGCAGGGACATCTTCAGCCATCTGTACCTCCTGCTCATTCATATTTTCAACAGTTTTTTCTACTCTCAGTGAATGTCCATCACATATTATATGTGAGGGGAAAATACATAAATAAGATAAATATTGTATGTCTTCTTCCTGATCTCAGAGTTTCCTTACCTCTAATCCTTATTTTATAATTACCACTGTACCATCAAATTAATATATACTTTCAAATAGATTTTTTTATTTACATATGACAGTAAGAAAAAAGAAGCCCTTGGTTCCCCAAGAATTAATCATATAAATATTATCTGTTCTCCATAAACCAAAAATGCAATCATTATCACTGTGCATTAAAAATAGAAGCCTGAGAAAAAGAAATAACTGTTTGCCTATGTCATGTATGCTAATCTATTGTTGAACAGATTATAGATTCTATGAATTAGAAACTTTAGTTCTGGTTTTTCTTGCATATTATTCCATTTTATGAAACCATTGTTAAAAGACTAAATAAAGCCAAACTATGTTGGTTTTCATTTTGGTTCTTAAACCATCATTTGTATATGAAACTGTTCTTTTTCTTCCTAACAGGATCAGGACAGAGACATCTGATGTTAATTTACAAAAATATTCTAGAAAATCTCAGTAAAAGAGGCAAGAACAAAGGCAAAACAATGGTTATACCATATTACTTTCTTGTCATTTTTACTGAGAGATTATCAGAACAGGAATATGTATCATCAATCTTATGTGTTGGCAAGAACACAAAAAAAGGTCTTTATTAGTCAAAGCAGTGTCCAAATTATGGAAATGTAATATTCCACTATATTCTGCACTGCTGAGACCACTTCAAGCACTGTGTTATGTTCTTGGTACAATAGCAATAACAATAGCGCTTAGACTTATATACTGCTTTAAAGTATTTTACAGTCCTCTCTAAGCAGTTTACAGTATGAGCATATTGCTCCCAACAATCTGGGTCCTCATTTTCAAATCAAATCAAATCAAACTTATATTGTCAATGCACAATATGTGTACAATGAAATTGAATGAGCCACCCTTGGTGCATCCCCCCTGAAAACACAGGATACATCTCAATAACTCAATAAATAAAAGAGAAGCCTCGGAAGGAAGGAAGGCTAAATCAACCTTGAGCCAAGTTAGGACTGAACTCCTGGCAGTGGGCAAAGTCAGCATGCAAAACTCCATTCTAACCACAGTGCCGCTGCGCCACCATGGCTCAATACTATAAGAGGAATCGGAAAAACATTAACAGATGCAAAATACATTAAACAAGAATGATGGGAAGACTAGAAACAGCCTTTGAAAGGAAACGAGGCTAAAGAAAGTAGGCATTTTTAGGGGTTTAGCCCTAAAAATGTCAAAATGGGTGAGGAATTTAAGAACACTCTTCATGTTCTTAAAAGAAAGTCATACTTTTAGGAAAACACAGTGGCTATATTCTATCATCCTAGAGAGTAGGACACAAAATAATGTCATTAAGTTACAAGCAGGCAAATTTTCTTGATTGTTAGGAAAAATTCCAAATGGTAAAGACATTTGGCTTGAAAGTAATTACCGTGAAAGCTCTCCTTTACTGGATATATTTAAACAGAGATTTGATAGCTAGCGATCAAGGATGTTTTCATTTGCTTTCCTCTACCAAGTGGAGGTCGAATTTGATGACATGAATGCCCCTCTCAATCCTATTATTCTATTTCATGTTAAATTTGTTATAAAATGGTTAAAAATGAAATATTGTATTATAGGATTGCTTCTTAAACACTGTACTTACATTAAGTCTGAATGCTTGTATAGTATTATCTAGAAGAAGAATATTGCAGACCACCTCTGCATGCTGTCTATCTCGTGCCAGCTCAGATGCTCGTACATTGTAGGTTCTGCCAGCAGGCAATCGGAAACGTCCAGTCATTACTGTCCACACAGCGTCTTTAAAAGGAAAAAAAATTAAGACTTATTATTTCTAACCTTCTCAGGTTAAAGCACAAGCATGATTAAGCAAACAGAAATACACCTTGTTTTAATGCTTAAAGCTTTATATCTACTGCAAATAAGCTGGAAAAAATGGTTCTATAATGCCTTTATAATTCTGGGCAACATATAAATTTAATAATTATTAATATGTATAAGATCAATTCTTGATTCTTAAATTGAAATTTTGTCGAAAATGATACTATTTGCTTTGTAGCAAACAGCAACAAAATCTTAGAAGTTGTACCTATTTTAAATGCAAATCCTTTTGAAACAAAATGGCACATGGAATAACTCTAATGAGTGTTTATGGACAAATCAGTTAAAATTCTTTTAACGTATTTGTCCATAAAAATAATTTAATAAAATGTAATTTATAATTAAATAAGATATTCATGTATATTAAATGTATTCAAAAAATTAATAAATGCCAAAATTCCAAATGTTAAAAAACAAAGCAAAGATTTTTTTTAAAAAAATTATAATACTCAGGCAGCAATACAAGATTTATCACTGAAGAAAAAAATGCCTCATATTTTATTTATATCATAAATTAGTCGCTTCACGCATTATGACCTTCATAAACTTCAGGATTATCATTCTTCTACCGTCATAGGATATAACAGTTAACATATCTTAACCTGTCATAAATATCATCCAATCATACCTAAAATTCTTCTGTAGAGAATTTATACAGGGTTTGTTTGATGCTACAAATCCCTTTATTACACTACATTAACTTATTGGCATGAAGAAATTAAAATTTTATCTGCAAAAAGAATGTATTATTACAAATGTAATAATTATTTTTAATAATTAAAATTATTATTTAATTATGTTTTTATACAAACCACAAGCCCCAAAAGTTATATTTCAGATATAAAACTAAGAAAATATTTACATAACTGAGGTTGGGTTTTAGTTTTCACTAATTCCAATTTAAGGCTGAACAACAGAATACTCCATGATATTGCTATTTAAACATGCACTTCAGATTACTGAAGTTATATTGCTCACTCTGTAGCATCTATTCCTATATTACAATGAAAGTTGTAACTTGTTTTTTTATTTTATTAGTTTGTCAAACATGTATGAGATAACAGGTATAAGTATGGACATGGACATGAACAAAGGGAATGAATACAAATAAATGGGGACAATAGGACAGGGACGGTAGGCACGCTGGTGCGCTTAAAGCACGCCCCCTTTACGGACTTCTTAGGAATGGAGTGAGGTCCATGATAGACAGTTTAAGGTTGAAGCTGTGAGGGTTTGAGGATGTAACAATGGAGTCAGGTAGAGCATTCCAGACGTTTGCCACTCTGTTGCTGAAGTCATATTTTCTGCAATCGAGTTTGGAGTGCTTTATCTTGAGTTTGTATCAATTGTTTGCCCATGTATTATTGTGGTTGAAGCTGAAGTAGTCATTAACAGGTAGGATGTTGCAGCAGACAATTTTGTGTGCTATGCTTAGGTCCAACCGTAGGCAGCGCAATTCCAGATTGTCCAAGCCCAAAATTTCGAGCCTGGTGGCATAAGGGATTCTATTGTGAGCAGAGGAATGGAGTACTCTTCTCATGAAATACCTCTGGACTCTTCAATCGTATTAATGTCTGATATACAGTGTGGATTCCAGGAAGACGAGCAGTATTCAAGAATTGGTCTGGCAAAGGTTTTGTATGCCCTAGTTAGCAGTACTATGTTGCTGGAAAAGAAGCTTTGCAAAATTAGGTTAACAACTCTAAATGCCTTTTTGGCAATGCTGTTACCGTGAGCTTTGGGGCTTAGATTGTTTGAGATGAGTACTCCTAGATCCTTGACAGAGTGAGGGTCATTTACAAGATTGTTTTCACCCAATTTGTATTTGGTGTTCTGATTTTTATTGCCAATGTATAGGACAGAGCATTTGTTAGTTGAGATTTGGGGTTGCCAAACACATGACCATTCTGACATATAGTCGAGGTCTCTTTGTTTTGTGTCATTTAGATTTGTAGGTGAAAGAAAAATTAATTATAAGGAGCCCAGCAGATACTGTTAAATACTATAGTTATAAATTAATATATAAGAGCCATGGGGGCGCAGTAGTTAGAATGCAGTACTGCCAGGAGTTAGATTCCTTTGATCCTGACTGGCTCAAGGTTGACTCAGCCTTCCATCCTTCCGAGGTCAGTAAAATGAGGACACAGATTGTTGGGGGCAACAGGCTGACTGTAAACCGCTTAGAGAGAGCTGTAAAGCACTGTGAAGTGGTATATAAGTCTAAGTACTATTGCTATAAGGATGGAAAACTGAAGTTTGTGATCTCTATAATACCTAGGGACATCAAAACACACCACAAGCACTTTCTTAGAAATAGAATAAGAGTTAGAAGGGACCTTGGAGGTCTTCTAGTCCAACCCCCTGCTTAGGCAGGAAACCCTA